TAGCATATAACTGTGGTTTTGTAGCTTGAGTATAGCTTTATTTACTGAGTGTCTGCCTTGGATGAAATTGAACAAAGCTTTGTTTTGTTTCAACAGCTGGCTGCTTGCGAGGCCAGCCATGGAAAAAAGAGTCCCACCAGAAGATTTGCCAAGGTTTTTGTATGTTCTGACTGAGAATCGCAAATTATCGAGTTGCTTTTAGACTCACTCTTGCTAACACAGTTTTTTTATCTTTTTATCTTTCTTATTAAACTTCGTTTTCTTGTCCTTATGCAGTTCATATAAAGTGATGCAGATAATAGAATTCTGACAGTTTTTCAAGGTCTTCATCTTCGTGTTCTGGATAAATTTTGCCCCACTGTTAAGTCTTTAATAGAATAAGTTACAACACTCTGATTGTAATATTTTTAGAGTACCTATTATTTTAGAGTACTTTTAGAGGTATAGAAAAGTTTATTTTTAAAAGTTGTCAAGGGAATAAAATTGCTATAATTTCGAAGCCTACATTATTTTTAATTGCTTTATTAAATTGCTACTATTAATCTAGAACCAGTCCTTAAAAGACTGGTCGTAGATTCCTGTAATTCAGTCTTGCAGTCTTGTGTTTAATTGTAGATTTTTGTAATTGAGTCCTACAATCCTGTATTCAATTGTAGATTCCTGTAATTCAGTCTTACAGTTCTGCATTCAGATGCAGTAATTTTGTCTGACAGTCCGGTCTTCAGTCGTAGATTCCAGACTTAAAAGCCTGAGCATTTAAAAGTCTTACACGTTTTTTTAAAAGCCTGTAAGACTAAATAACCACCAGTCATTCAATCTTACAGGCTTTTGAAACCTGAATTTTCTCTGTTTAACTGGAAAATCTTTTGTTATTACTTTTGTAAACACATCGTATTTCAATTACTTACACTTTAAGGAATTCGATAGCTGCTTAAGACTACTACAAGTTATCTTAGTTATTCACATTTTGTTTACTTCCTTGTGCGAAGTAAAAAGGAAGTATTGTAATCACGAAAAGTTTCAGGCAGCATATTTCAACGAAAATATCCAATTTGACCGCTATCGAATGCAATTTAACGATGTTTTTGCGTGATATCTGTACGTAAGAACAGAATAAATCCTCTTTTCCTCCAAAAAATTATAAAACTGCTTTAAAATTAATTCTGAAGAGAATTTTTCGTGGCGTCTGTACGAACGTATGTACGTACGTATCTCGCATAACTCAAAAACGAGTAACCTCAGAAAGTTGAAATTTTGTATATAGGACTGCTATAACATGTAGATGTGCACCTCGTATTTTGGTTTGCAAATCGGACGCACCGAACGTATATAAAATATATTTATATATATATCCACTCTATTACCCGGCTCAGTGATCTCAGTTTCTTTACTCTTATATGTTTGTAAATTGTACATTTTTTGCTTTAAAAATGATTGAATTATGTTGTTCTTATGTTCCGGTTAAGATTTTTATGTCTTTAGTAAATCTGTATAAAATATTTTTAGAATTATCAACAATTTTAAAGTTGTTTTAAGTGCCACTAAGCCTAATATTTTTTTTGATGGTGGCCATTGCTTGTTTACATTTGAAACAGCAGAATAGTGGTTTGTTGTTGCCAATCTAGAGAAACTTAGCATCGCAACAACAAAGATAACGCTTCATTATTATTGCGATTAATCATGCTTCATCCTTTTTGGAAATTTTTCGAGGAAATAAGTGCTTAAGATTAAGTGAATTAACTGATTTTTAAGAACGGAATTAATTGAATGCGAAATACTCATCGTCTGTGAGAAACATTTTCTTTTTTGTTTTTTGCTTAATTTCTTTTATACATCGTTCTAGCTTTATTATAGTATTTGAATAGAACATGTGGCAACGATTAGATAATTCTTTAAATGATATAAATTTTGTGCATTCTGAGTTATGACGAACAATGAACGAAATATAATACTGTTTAGTGAGCCCTGCGCCGGAGTGTCGTTATGGTAAACAAATAGAATGAATTTTTAAGAATGCATTTATTCTATTGTCGTTTATGCGCTGTCGGCGAAATAGATTTAATTCAATCTAATAAGTTTAAATGAAATGCTAGAAAAAATGCGTATAATTTAATATTTCGTAGAAGGAAGTCATGTGGTGTACACATCAGATTTTTTTATTTTCGTTAAGCTGATAAGGCTTATTTAGTTAACAAATTATTTTTAGACTAAATTTTTTTCTGTCTATTCTATTTATCTATCGAATTTCACTAAACTACAAATTACGTTTAATTAGCGAGTGTATTCAGGAAGCATGTATTGGTAGTGTTATTGATTTTCTGATACTGTGATTCAGCACCTATTAAACTACAGGTGACTTGGTGACTATTTTCAGTGACTGGATATGTATCTGTTTTATAGTTTAACGCGCGGCAGAGATAAATCGGTGCAGAGCTGAACTTGTAAACATATTTTTTTTCGTCTTCTTGGCAGCTCAAGTATTTTTGTTTTACTTTGAATCCTATAAGTAGCGCAGGGTATAGGTTTCAGTGAGAAAAAACGAGAGAAACAGGTGTTTGGTTTAAAAGTAATGCTTATTTTCTGAAGTCTGCAGAAAATCAGAACAGATATAATTTTTAAACTTAAAAATTTACTTTAGTTTTACAAGTTTCAAAAATTTTTTACGTTTTCGCACATATTTTAATTAAAGCCTTTTAACTAATTTCTAATAACCATTCAATCAATAACCAACCAATAATGCATTTTTTCCATGATGGACATATTGTTTTCGTTTTGCGATTTTACTTCGAATCACTGTGAATGTCCGTTTCACTATTCAAACTGTTGCCACCAAATATTATCTCCCTGTATTATATTTGAATGAAATTAAATAATGAAGAACTGGCATAAATGAATGTATGTTTCTCGCATTGTGATAAAACAACGATACCTACAGACATCCAATTTTGAATGACGTGATCCTACTGCGAATATGGGCATCTGGAAGCCCAAATTTGAAATTTGAAATTTGTTTTATTATCGATTTCCTATTTTGTAAAAATTTAACGAATTTTTGATTAGCCAACTCAAAGATTTCAAAGCGAGCAATGCCAACGTTGTACAAGAAAATCATTTTTACCTCCAGCGCGTGAGTCGGAAATTCTAAAGGTATGCTCAATTTAAAATTATTTTGCGATATTGCTGTTGAACTGAATTTTATGATTTAATTGTGAAGAACATGATATTTAATAAATAAAGGTAACACACAAAATGTTAAAAAAATGCCCCTCTGGACTTAATTTAAAATCTAAAATCTTTAAGTTTTTTTTTTTTTTTTTTTGTATAATACATTCTAATAACCAACCAATAATATCTTTTTGCAGTTAATGAGTCATTATATTATTACCTAAATTAATGAAGTAATATTTTTCATTCGTTTTCGAACTTTGAGGAAACGGTTTACTTTTTACTTCATTGTACGAAGTAAAAAGGAAGTATTGTAATCGCAAAAAGTTTCAGGCAGCATATTTCAACGAAAATATCCCTTTTGACCGCTATCGAATGCAATTTAACGCTGTTTTTGCGTGATATCTGTACGTAAGGACAGAATAAAATACTCTTTTCCTTCAAAAAAATTATGAAACTGCTTTAAAATTAATTCTGAAGAGAATTTTTCGTGGCGTCTGTACGAACGTATGTACGTATCTCGCATAACTCAAAAACGAGTAGCTTCAGAACGTTGAAATTTTGCATATAGGACTGCTATAACATTTAGATGTGCACCTCGTATTTTGGTTGCAATCGGCAGCACCAAACGTATATAAATATATTTATATATATATCCACTCTATTACCCGGCTCAGTGATCTCAGTTTCTTTACTCATATATGTTTGTAAATTGTACATTTTTTGCTTTAAAAATGATTGAATTATGTTGTTTTTATCTTCCGGTTAAGGATTTTCTGCCTTTAGTAAATCTGTGAGCAATATTTTTAGAATTATCAGCAAATTTAAAGTTGTTTAATTGCTGCTAAGCCTGTTTTTAATGGCGGCCATTGATGTTTACATTTGAAACAGGAGACTAGTGGATTTGTTGCCAATCTAGAGAAACTTAGCTTCGGAACAACAAAGATAACGTCTTCATTTATTATTGCCAATTAAATCATGCTTAATTCTTTCTGGAATTTTTTCGAGGAAATAAACGTTTGAAATTTACTTCCTAATTTTTAATATAGATATTTTGAGTTTTTATGTATTTTTGCCTTCTCGCGAAGTGAGAATTGAATTAATTAAATGAGAAATACTGAATCGTCTGTGAAAAACTGTTTCTGTTTTGTTTGGTTGCTTAATTTTTTTTTATACATAGTTCTAGCTTTATTATAGTATTGAATAGAACATGTGGCAACGATGAGATCATTCTTAAATTGATATACATTTTGTGCATTCTGAGTTATAATATGAAGGAAATATAATACTGTTAAGTAAACCTAACGCCAGAGTGTCGCTATGGTAAACAATGTGAATTTTAAAGAATGCATTTATTCTATTGTGGTTTATGCGCTGTCGGCGAAGTAGGTTTAATTGAATCTAATTAGTTTAAATAAAATGCAAGAAAAAATGCGTATAATTTAATATTTCGTACAAGGAAGTCATGTGGTGTACACATCAGATTTTTTATCATTAACTCTAAAACTTTATTCTAACAATTTGTAACAATAATAATAATAATAAAGAAAGAATAATTTTATTTTAAGTGTTCTTTTTTGAAACTAGATACTATTTGCAACCCTATAGAACACGTATTTCGTAGCAGCAAAGCGAAAAGTATTTATTACATTTTAAAAGCGTATTTCCATTTCTTTCAAAACTGAATTTTCTGCATCAATAATGAGATCGAGGAAGCTATGGAATTTTAAGTGAAGTGATCTGCTACTTCATTTATTTTTTATTCAAAGTTGCGTAGTTGATTAATTAACATAGGAAACTGATATTTAGCCTTATTCCTTTTCTTTTTTTTTCAGATATTTAAGCATTCTTTTACCGCCAAGTACAAAGTCTACATCGTCGAAAGCGAGTAAGTTAACGAATCTTTATTTTTTCTTAGTTTTAATTTCTTTTCCCTCTTATTCCGAGCAAATGTTAGTTTTGGTCTGCTTGTTTCCATTAAAAGGCATATATTTAGCTGGTGTAGTTTGCCTTTTTTTTACGGCAGTGTTTCTAGACGTAATTACGTTAATGTAAAGTTGTGGGGGGGGGAGGTGAATTAAATATAGTGAAACTGCTGTTGCTGTGAGCAAAAAGAAGACGAAATGTGCTGTGTATGTGTATTCTTGCGACGCTTACTTGATTCAAAAGCGGAGCTTTTTTCCAAGTAAGTTTTAGATAACATTTTGATGATTATATTTTAATGTTTTGCCATAGAGTCAAAAGAAAATTAAGAATTTAATGACTGTGATTTAGAAGTATGGAGTTTCTCTTTATCGATAGTCGTTATTCTTTCTCCGCATTTTCCATTTCTTTCCATTTTTGATTTGTTTTGTTTTTTTTCGTTTTTTCCGATCTGCATCCTTTTTTCACGCTTATCATATCATAAACAGAAAATAAAAGTATATTTATATACAATTCAGTCACAATTAACATTTTTATAGGGAAAGTTCTGATTAAAACAGTACTATAGTGCAGCGGTCGCCAACCGGTGGCCAATTCAGTCACAATTCATATTTTTATAGAGAAAGTTCTGATTAAAACAGTACTATAGAGCAACGGTCGCCAACCAGAAAATGTTATCACGGACCACCAGTGGTCTGTGATAACATTTGCTGGTCCGCAGAAAAGTTGGGACATTATTTATATTTTTATGAAGGTTCAATTTAAAAAATGGCAAGTAACAAAGCCTATTATGGAATATGGATTACACGTTTTTAACTACTACTTTTAGCGAAATTCCTTCTGAATTTAGCGACGTTTTAGCTACTTTCGCAGGTGTATCTAGCGACATTTGAAAGTGAGAGTTGGCATCCATGGATATGCTGCTGTTAACAATAATAGCGCGAACTGGAATTTTCTTTCCTTTTGAATTACAAACATATGCTATTGTAATCGTTAATAATATAGTTTTTCTCCGTGTCAATAAGCAAATTGATGGAGTTTTATGAGAACCATCTGCATTCTTGTTTATAATTGCATCCCTGGAAGTTTCCGTTTTTGTTTTGTCTAACTGTTGATCGATGGCGCCATTGCTGAGGAAGCGATGATTATTATGTTTGCAATAATTAAAAATTGGTGGCATAACACGATCAGTTCATTGATATTGCTTTGCTTTTGCCGATTTGTTCTTGCTTTTCGTGAAGTTCATTTTCTGTGATCTTTCTGTACAAGAAGGTAAGATTTTTACACTTTTCATGTAATTTTTCAATATGAACAAAAGGTCTGTATTTTTCTGATTATTATTGTATAAATGTATTTACATTTTTTTTTTTTTGTAATTCATATTAGGGGTCTCCCAAATATAAAATTATATATGTAGTGGTCCGTGAAGTTCTAAGTGTTGACGAGCTTTGCTATAGAGGAACCTATATATAAGCAGAAATTGAAGGGAATAGAAAAATATTTTCGAAAATACTTGTTATCGAGACAGTTATTATTAATTTCGAATTCTACAATTCGTCATTAATTTGTGCTTATCAAAAATTTCAACTGTCGAAATCCGAATAACCGAAATTTTGTTGTATTTCATTTTTTTAATATTTGGACAGATATCAGTGAGTAACGTTTTTCGAAAATTTTGACCTTTCCGGAATTCATTTTGACTATTTTTTGCCTGATGTCATTAAGTATGGACAGAATAAAGGAATCTGTATTCTGAAGCGGATTTTAAATTGATTCAAAATGGACTTTTCGTGACTTCTGTATGTACGTAACCTGTTATTTATCCTGCACGTATATTTCTCAGCGTTATGTGTCATTTCCATGGTATTTATTGTAAATTTTAATCAACATACTATAAAAAGAGTTTCATTAAATAATGTAAAAAAGAGCAGGAGCAAATGATTTCATGTCCACAAATCTTTGTTCTAAAACGTTGGCGAATAAATTTAAGGATTTTGATGATTAATGTTAAGTTTTATCTATTTTCAAGCTTCTTTATCACACTAATGTATCATTTGCTATAACACAGAGAATGTGCAAGGGTTTCTGTGGTGAGAGCCGTAGAGGAAGGATGTATAAATAATGCGATATCATTCCTAGTGAATTTTAAATCTGATAAACTTGTAAAGCTATTAGGTATTTTTTGAAGGCAAGAGAGATGTAAAATGAACAACTGTCTTCGCCGGGAATCGGAATACGGATCTTTGGAATACGCGCCCAGTGTGCAGACCACCACACCGCGAAGGCATGTCAAGAAGGTGGGAGAACTAACTTATATACTCCCCTTTTAAAGAGTGACTTTGGTTTTAGAGGACCCAAACCCCAGTCGTGTGGAGAATCCTGGGTGTGGAGAATCATCATCCAACACCCTTTTAGTTCGGGCGCCACTGTAGAGACATTAGGTATTATTTGAAAGCAAGAGAGATGAAAAATGAGCAACCGCCTTCGCTGGGAATCAAACCGTGGACCTCTGGAATACCCTCCCAGCGTGCAGACCACCACACCACGAAGGCATGCCAAGAAGGCGGGAGAAATACCTTATAAACTTAAGTATTTCAGGTTCCTTAAATCACTATATAATGTATTATGAAGAGAAAGCATTCATGCTATAACAATATCCTGTGCATAAAATGAAATCAGCGAAGACTCGGAACAAACATTTCGTACCGACTTACCAGCATTTGAATGGATACGACTGCTAAACACTGGTAATTCTCTCGAGTCTGGCAAACGCACTGGATCCGTGGGTTTTTCTGTTTCTCTTCATATGTAATGGTACTATTATACCTAAAGAAGCATAAGGCTAGGAGAAAATTTTCTGAGAAATGAGTTTCGTCTTCTTCTATCATTGGAGAGTTCTTACCTGAAACATGTTTTGCTGGAACCGGTGTCCCGGCTTGCTACGCGGGACATTTTGAAACTGAACTGAAAATATTTTGCTTGGGGTTTCGTTAAGTGAACCTAATCAAGTATCCAAAATAAAAAAATCAGAGAAATGTTTCTTCCGACGCGCTATTGAGGGTAGCTTGTAAATGTGATACCAATTTTACGTACCGAATTACGAATTAATTTTTCTTAAAAATTTCTCTACAAAAACATCTTCTTAGGCAATACACAATATGTTTTGTGCGATGCACAAAATTCACTACTTTAATTATATGAGTTTTTTTTTTTTCCCGCAGATTCCCTAATCCAGAAATAAATTACTTTTAATACCCAAATAGCACATTTTATTTACATAATTAAACTATAGAGGCATTAGGTTTATTTTTTGGAAGTAAAAGAGATAAAAAATGAGCAATGCCCTCGCCGGGATTCGAACCACGAACCTCTTGAATACACGTCGAGCGTGCTGACCACTACACCACGAAGGTATGCTAAGAAGGCGGGAAGATTACCTTACATACTCCCCTTTTAAAGGGCGACTGCGGTTTTAGGGGATCTAATCGCCAAATCCTGGTGGTGGAGAATCATCATTCACCACCTTTTTTAGTTCTGGTGCCACTGTAGAGTCATTAGGTATTTGGAAACAGGAGATGTGAAAAATGAGCAATACCTTCGCCGGAACTCGAACCACGAACCTCTCAGATACACGTCGAGTGTGCTGACCACTACACCACGAAGGAATGCTAAGAAGGCGGTAGAAATACATTATAATACAACTTCAAAATTGTAGGCTTAATGACCTCTTTTACTTGATTCTTTCTAGGCGGAAACCAAATGCAATCCTGAAGAGTCAAAATGACACGGACGCCACTTAACGTAAACAACGTCAGTTTTATAGCATCTACAGTAACCGAGTGATAATACCTCTGAACACTAGTAGTTAGACTGAGTTTCGAAACTAAAGTGAAACTGGTCGGCGTTTCCATTCTTCTCATCTTTTGGATAATAAAGTCCTTGCCTTGACACTAATCGATTGAAAAGATAAATAGATAATCGATTTAAAAGATAAATAAGTCTCTCTTGCTGACTCCCCTTTGCCAGCAATTATTCGCCAAGTGCATGGCAACTTCCCAAAAATTATTAACTTTGTTCTAAACCGAGATCATGTTAGAAAGTAAAAAGAAGAACGTCTGCAAACCATTGATGGAAATGAAAACTAGTCCTCAGAAATATTAAGAGAAATCCCTAAGGTTTTGGAAAGCTCTCTGTTTGTTATATTACTTCATTAGAAGCTAAATTTTAAATGCTCATTTTGTTTGTCTCATTTTATTTCTCAAATAGCAAAATTAAATTCATTTTATATGAAAAAAATTGTATAACGACAGTATTTAGTCATGTAAAATTACAAACGTTCATGTTAAAAACCATTTGGAAATAATGTTTTTATTTACAGGCAAGTACAGCCTTTTTTACCTGATATGCCTGATGCCGTCTTTCAGTATGTAACTTGGGGCAGCAAATCAAGCCAACTGGTGAGTGTTTAAACTATACCATTTTTAATTACTAATTAAAGAATATGTGATGTCTGCATATTATCATGGGAAATTTTAATTACTGACTCGCACTCTAATATCAATGGAAAAATGTTCTCTGCAATGATCATATTGTATTTCCATCCTATTTAGTTTATAATGCTGTTGAATTTACAGGTACATAAAAAATTACCAACATTATTTCCACTTAAAACAAACAATATAAAAAAGTTAAGTTAATTACTTCTTAAATCAAGAAAGAAAATTTTAAAAATACAAAGAAAAAAATGTAATACCCCAAAAAATTTTGTTAATTAAAAATGTAAACAAATTTTAATATGTGAAAAAAACTATATTAACATCAAGTGTCATCCACTACAGGTTTAAAAAAAGGAAGTTTTACTTGAGTGGAGGAATAAAAAGTACTTATTAACGATTGAAAATTAAATTATTAATAATTAATTAAATAAATAAAATGAAAGCCAATTCCTACTTAGGTCAACAAAGAAAAATTTTTAAAATACAAAAAAAAAAAAAAAAAAAAAAAAAAATTAAAAATTTTAGAAAAATTTAATATGTGAAAAACTTGTATTAACATCAAATGTCATCCACTACAAGTTCCACTACAAGTATTTGAATCTGAGTGGATGAATAAAAAGTATTTTATTAACGACGGAAAATTCGAACATGATATAGGGAGAGTGTGAGCTAATAGTAGGAATTTAAAAATGAAATCCTTTGAATCTGCATTTTAGATCCATATCGTTGCTAAATTCCCATCTGCGGTAAGACAGCTTTCCCGAAAAGCAGTGTTAGGGCTACCAAAAAATGGCAGGTTTGTAAGATTTGGCGCGAAATTTCCCATTTGGCGACAAAATTAGAGCTATGCCATAGACGGAGCGAGAACATTCTAGAACGCATTCCTAGCGAGTTTCCTCGGTAATGTTCTCGAATGTAGGTTAAGGCTATATCGATGGACATCAGAGGACACTGAATGCCAGAAAATACATTGACATTATTCTAGAACCAAAACTTCTACCTTCCATCAGAGATCTCTTTCCCAACAATGCTTCGTTTATTTTTCATCAGATTCTGCTCCTTGCCACACGGCCAAAATATCGAAAGAGTGGTTTCGAACAAAGAGCATTAAATTGTTGTCATGGCCAGGAAACAGTCCTGACCTCAATCCCATCGAAAATTTGTGGCACTGTTTGAAAACTCTTGTCCGAATGAGGCGCCCATGAAATCAAAAGGAACTAATTGAGGCTATAATTGTTTCCTGGCATCATGTAATAACGAAAGAAGAGCTTAAAACTCTTGTCAGCTCAATGAAACGTCGATGTGAAGCTGTAATCAAAAATAAAGGATACCCTACTAAGTACTGATAACTCACTGCAATCATCACTATCTAATGTATATCGATAACTATTATCGTTTAACTTTTTTTGTACTGCAAATGATTGAATTTGTGTTTTGTATTGAATTCAGTAATAAATTCTCTTTAAAATGATATATACAAGTTTGCATTTTGTGAAACGTAACGTTTTCTATAAGCATACAAATTTAAAAAAACATTAAAATTTCCAAAAGTGTCCACAATTTTAGCCACCACTGTATATACCCTGCCTATACGCGTAGTAATAGTATCCTGAGTTCAATAGTAGCGTTTTGAGTTCAAAGATTAGCTTGAGAGCGACCGGACAGAATCGGGAGCTGTATTTTAGCGCTTTGTCGTGAAGCAGCCTTCACCGTTGCAGCCTTAAGCCTGTATTGCTCATTGTTTCAGCGTATTTATCGTAACTTTTTGGACAACTGTAAGCGTGTCTTTGTGACTGTAACGTCTGTAAACGTCTCTAAACATGCCTGTGTAATACTTGCGAATAAATTGCGAATATTGATTCTTCATCATGTGTTATTGTCAATTCCTCCAAATCCACGAACCCGTAGAACCCAACAATATTGTAAAAGCTTTAATTGTGTAACGATAACATGTATATCTGCCTTTAGTTTATATTTTCATATTTATGAATTCCCTTTGATTGCATGGAAATATAAATATAATGAAGTTCATTTTCCTTGTTGGTCAACAATTAACACGAGTATTTCATACCTAATGGAGATTCAAAGCTGGTTTATTTTTAATATATGAAAAATGTTATTGTTTCTTACATCCAATAAATTTTGCAAACTAAATACAAATGCATGCAGCATATAGCAGTTGCATTTCTTGAATAAATTGAGAGGTCAAGTTATTAACATCGCTATAATATTATTTTAATCAACATTATTATATCACTCAGCCTAAAACTATTGTAGCTTGTAAAAACAGAGCATTGAAGCACACATTTAAGATATGATCCTAAATAAAGGTGACCACCTACCTGAGTTTTAATGTAGTATATTGTATGTATTCTAAAGGCCCAATCGTTTGTTTTTAAAAACTGATTAATTTTGTAAAATTTTGCTTGACTTTGTCTCATTTATCTATTCTGGAATCCGATAAAATTTCATCCGAAGTGCAGTAGTGTCTGTAACACTTTAAAACTTCAATAACCACAGAACTTTACTCATCAATAAAAAAATCTTTTTAAAACCTTTTAACGTCTGGTATGCTTCAGAAACATACACTAACGAGTTCTGAAAAGGCTACAGAAGAATTATCTTCAAGTCTTATGATACAAACAAAAGTAAGAAAAAGGTTGTATAAGACTTATTTATTTAAACTTAAAAATGTAACAATGACCCAACTTGGGTTTACACAAGCGAACATTTCTGGCTTAACTTACGTAAGTGATGCTGAACTAAAATCTTGTTCGATTAGCCTAACGGCTCACAGGATAAAATAAAGCGCAGGTAGGCTCTGGTTTGTAGAAAACCGGCGAGACAAGCCGAATGGCTAGAAGCACTCAACGCAAACAGAATATAATCGCTATTAAGTTATGGTAACAACTTGGACTGGATTATGCAGAATACGCTCTAAAATTAACTTGCGAAACCTTCGCTTAAATAGCACTTCTTTCTCCCTCAGTCTGAATAAACGATCACTCTGTCATTTACATTCTGGTATAAAAAGCGCGGGTGAAAAGAGGACGACAGAAAATTATAATTAAGTATAATTAACTCAAATTTAACTATTAGTAGTCAAACACAGAAAATCCTCACAAACTGGCATCTGTTACTTCTTGAAATGTCTCAGTTGAGTTTAATAAAAGTTTTTTTTCTTAGCCTTTACATAGAATTATTTTGGAAAATAACAGATGGATCCATTTACTTTGGTAAAAGCAATTATGGTACTCAGTAGCCATATCGAATACCCATGTTAACAGCAGGCACAAATGGTTTAACTCCAGCTTCAAACTCGTATTACAAATGTGAGACTGGTAATCTATCCTGCGAACTTTTTGGTATATGCAGGGTTTAACGGAACTCCTATTTAGGATAAAATACATCCACCATACTGTACCCTACACTGGCCGAAAGATCCATTGACCTCGCCAACAAATATCCTTTTACTAATCAAAATCGAAAATACAAATCATTAATTTTACATATTTACATAAAAATTTTGCATAACAAAATATCCTATTTAGGATCACAACACTTTAAACAAACATTTATACAACTTGTATTTCATACATAAAGTAAATCATTTATACAATTTGTATTTCATAAAGTAATTAGATCATTTTCTAATAACAAAAATTATTTTATAATTAAAACAGAGACTAAAAATATTCTTTTCTTACAAATTCAATAATAACAAACTATTAATCTCATTAATAACTTATTACATTCTCAAACAAAAATACAATTCCTTTGCATATTTTAATTTAATAGAACCATTAACCATAATCAGTTCTTCTAATCAATAAGTCATATTGTCTTTTTAGACATTCATAATTTTTATCTAGACTAGAGTGTCTAGAATCTAACCCAAGTTTATATTTTTTGTTGGCTTCTTTACAATTGATACATTCTGGATCTTCCTTACAATCCCAATAGTTGTGACCTTCTCGAGCACATCTAGCACAAATCTGACTTTTTACACAATTTTTATGAAAATGGCCAAATTCTTGGCACTTGAAGCACTTAACAACATTCAAATACTCTTTAATCGATATTCGGAACCATTTCAAGTCAATTTTCCCTTGATTTATTATAGATTTGAATTTAGCAGGCTGAACTTCAGCCACCCAATGCAACTTATTATTTTTTGCTTTGATTGAAAACAAAAGTTCAAAACCTCCATTTTCAAAAATGTGATTTTGTTTAATCACCGATTCTTGAATCTCTTTCTTTTTTAAATCAGCTTCTATATTATATAATATTATCTTTGGACTTTTCTTTTTTGGAGCCTTTGTTTCAACATTTTCTTTCAACAATATAATTGATCTTATTTCTTCTTCTAAAATTTCAACTTCTTCTTTATTTACACATTCTATGACAATTCTTCCGTTGTTAATTTTTCTCACATTTTTTATTCCAATCTTCAGCTGAGCCGGATCTATTGCTTCAACCACCTTCATTTTCAATTCTTCAGATGAAACCCCTTTCACCTTAGGGTATAACAATGCTACATGTTCTTCTTTTTTCTTAAATTTATCCTTCTTTTGAATCAATTTCTTTTCAAATCTTTGTTCTTGAACGATTTCAGCAAAGGACTTTTCAATAAAAAGTTGTGGTTTCTTTATCACTTCTAGTTTTCCTTTCAGGTTCTCTGTTTCCAACGCTTGTGAAACAATATAACCAAATACCACTTCTTGTGCTTTAAAAATCCTCTTACGAAGAGGTATTGTAACTCTAGAGGCATCTTCTAGACAAGTTTCTAATTCACTAATAAGTGAACGAGCCTCTTCAATAAGTTCTGATTGAACAGCAGTCTCTGTCTGTACACTTTCATCCATTATCAAGCACTCTATGTGGAGTTTGGATTAGACCTCCCCCCTTAGGAGGAGGAGCCCCCAGACCACGACAAGGTCCCAAACTCCTGGGAAGTTTTT